TAAACCTGTATCCAATTTATACCTACTAAGCTCAGCAGAAGGCACTGTTCATCATATGAGAGAGTGCTCTGTTCATCAGCAGTGAAAGGATGGAAATACCCTTGGTTTTTTGCTTTGGTCCCGTACTGTTGACACTTTGCTACAGTAATAAGTCAGTTTTGTCCTTCCCGGCCTCACGTCTCTCATCAGCTTTGGATTCGGTACATGATTTCTTCCCTTTCACTTTGCTAAAGTAAAGATTAAAGTAATGTAGCAAAAAGTAACTTAAATCTAGTTTCTATTTATACACAACAATCTCTTCACACCCAACTTTTATCACTCAACGAAGGTAAAAAAAAACTTTTATCACTCAACACCCAACAATCTCTAATCCGTAATTTGATATCAAGGTTTTGAGATAACCTTGTTGTGAAACAATGGATTATAGGGAAAAAAAATTAAAATTAAAATTTTAAACAGAAAAATAAAAGAAAATAATTCACAAGATATTGATAAACATGTCGAATCTCGTTCTTTTGGTCACCTGATGGTCAATGATTCATGGTCACCAATCCTTGAATTTGATAGATATAAAATCTTGAAAGCACATCCATTTATTCTTCACAGTTTCACCCTTGATATTAAATTCAAGAGTGATTGGCCATGTATTCCTTACACAAAAGGAAACAAAGAGAACCTTTCATATATATTTAATACTTTGATTTTCATGATAGATACCTGGGTTTTCTACTGGGTTGATCTCTGCTGCCATGCTCAATCTGTCAATTTATCCAAAACAGATTTTATTATTGGTAGATCATGATCATGTGTTTATACATGGAAACAAAGAAAGAAATAGTGAACCAAAGTATAAGTGATTAACAACTCACAACTTGAATTGAAACGGGGAATCCTTCTGATAAAACTCCAGCCTGAATTGGGGTTCTATAGCACTGGTGCTGCTAAACCTGTATCCAATTTATATCAATTAAAGCTCAGCAGAAAAACATTGTTCATCATATGAGAGAGTTCACTGTTCATAAATAGTGAAAGGACGGAAATGCCTTGGTTTCTGCTTTGTCCTTCCCGGCCTCACGTCTCTCATCAGCTTTGAATTTGGTACATGATTTCTTCCCTTTCACTTTGCTAAGACCAAATCCAACCCTGGGCTATTTGCCAAATTTCCTCCCAAAATTTCCTCCCAAACACCACCCAACCCAAGCTAAATCTTTGGGCTAAAAGCCAAATGCCAATTGAGGGCCAAATTCCCCCCATGAAATAGCCCAGAAACGTGTGGACTCTCTCTTTCCCAGCCCACTCTCATCTCGGTCGCTCGTGCCACTCGCCCCACGCGGGCGTTAGCCTTCAGCGCCCGACAGGGTGGGACCCACTGTCAGGGCTGCTGTCGGAAGCAATTATGAGCCCAACGACTCTTTTGTTCATCGGACCGTTGGCATTAGTGGAAAGAAAGGGGGAGAGAGACGGGCTGGGTTCTTTTGCTTGGGTTTTTGTTTGGATTTGTGGAAAGAAGGGGGTAGCCTTAAACTTGAGGGTTGGTTCACTTTGTGTTATTCCTATTTTGTTGGATCAATGGAAGATACAATACATATTGGTAATTTGTAATCGAGTAAACTATCAGTTTACTCCCTGAACTTTCATGTTATTTTTTATTTTCCTCCTGAACTTTTCTATAGGAAAATTAAGGACTCAAACTAATTTTTTTAGCTAATTTGCCCATACAGTTAGTTTTTCATATATTTCATTCATATTTCTGTTAAGTGAGATCATGTGCACAACATGTGAGGATAGTTAAGTCATTTCACTCTTAAAAATGATTAAAAACTGAAAATAAATAATAATAAAATTTTCCTTCTATTTTTTCCCGCTAATTCATATCCTCAATTTTATTTTTCCCTCTCATTCCTGAAAATTTTCCTATGCATGAGAAATGACATATGGTGTTATTTTCTTCATAAGTAGTTAAGTTAATCTTTTTCTTGAAGCATGTACTACCATTTTTATTTTCTCTAACAAATTAATAATTTAACAAATGCTAATGGTGTTATTGTTTCCAAAGCAATACATTAATATAAGAAACATGTCCATAAAAAAGACTAGGGTTTCTTATATTAATGCACTGCTTTGGAGACAATAGCACCATTAACATTTGTTAAATTATTAATTTATTAGAAAAAATAAAAATAGTAGACAATAATACCATATGTCATTTTTCATGCATAAGAATGGGAGAGAAAAATAAAATTGAGGATAGGAATTAGCGAGAAAAAATAGAGGAAAATTTTTAATTATTATTTATTTTCAGTTTATAATCATTTTTAAGAGTGAAATGATCTTAACTATTCTCACATGTTGTGCACATGGTCTCACTTAACGGAAATATGGATGAAATATATGAAAAACTAACGGTACGGGGCAAATTGGCTAAAAAAATTAGTTTGGATCCTTAATTTTTCAATAGAAAAGTTTAGGAGGGAAATCGAAAGTGATATGAAAGTTAAAGAGGTAAACCGACAGTTTACTTTTTTTGCTTTTTATTGCTGCAAAATAATTTGACGACGGAGATTGTATGTTGAGCGGAAGGACTTGGCTTTCACATTACTCTTCTTCCAATATATGACCACTTTATCTTACTTTTCCTTTTCCATCACTTCGTTTATTTGTTTTTTCTTTCCAGCTAGCTTGGATTGGTTGTGCTTTTATAAAAAATTATTTTTGTTTTATTTTAAAAATAATCAAATACAAGATAAAACAGCTAAATGTTTGATAAGGCAGTTAAATCTCTCTCTCTTTACCCCTCCCTTTCCCCTCTTCTTCCTTTGTCATTTCTTTTCTTCCAATATGGCAATATATGACCGGTTATCTTCCTTTCCCTTTTTCACTCCGTCTTTTCCGTCCACTCCCTCTCTCTTCATTTACCCTTCCCATATCAATGTCATGGATAGATGAGCTAAGATCATCTCTAAAGGAAATGTCAAATATGCTTCACTTCACTCCTCCCCGCTTCGCCCCATCTGTGCTTCGCTTTACCCCTCCCTGCTTCGCCGTCCTTCCCTTCCTAGAAATTTGCGATAAACCCAGAAAATATCAGAATCTGTGATAAACCCAGAAATCTGTGATATGCGATTTCAAATTACAGAAAATATCAAAATCTGTGATAAACCTAGAAATATATTACCTTGGGTTGCAGTGCTCTTCTCCAGAAATTTGTAGGAAAAAACGAAATCAAATTTGGAGTTGTAAAACATAAATTATAGTAGAAATTTGATATGTGATTTCGAATTTGCAGTGCTCTCTGCTTTGAGGAACAAGAAGAAAGACCCAGGAGCAAAATGCACAGATCCTCCTTTGAGGAAGAAAACTGGGAGAAATGGGGGAGAAAAAGAGAGAGAGGAGTGAGATGGTCGGCCGGAGAAAAAAAGAGAAGAAAATGAAGGAGAGGGGAGTGAGAGAGTGGGAAGAAAGAAGAAAACTATGGGCCGGAGAAAAAAACATAATATAATATAATATTTATGAATTAAACAAATATAATATTAAAATTTATTAATTATTTTGTTTCTTAATTCAACACTGCACCAAACGCTTTACTAAATCAGTTCAACTTAGTCTAGTCTAAGCCAGTCCAGCTTAGTCCCTGAAGCTAGTCCAGTCCGAGATAATCCGGTACAACAAACGCACCCTATATGTATAAAGACTTATGTATTGTATCTATTTGATATCAATGAATTCCTTCACAATTATTGAATTCTTTACATTATATATAATCAACAATAATTAATTATATAATAATTAAAGAATTTGTAGATTAATCATATAACAGTTATTGAATTTTTAAATATTATCAACGACTTGACATGTTATGATACTTTCATGTTTTTAATTGTCTTTCCAACAAAAATAAACAATGGCTTGAGTCACTTGATCTTGATGAAGAAGATGCCCATTCATATTACAGTTAATTCATTTGATTAATGAAGGTATATATTTCTCAAGATATATAACCAAGCAATCATAGAAAATGACAGCAACCAGCATAAGGAGAATTGTTGGAAGATAATTTTTGCCTTCGGTTTGAAAAACCATGTTCGAATTTGATTTGAAACCGTCCATTTTAGCATTGTAGACATATATTAGTACAAATCACACCTCTTTAGTTAACTTGATGAAGTTTGCTACTTTGTACAGAATAAATTAAGATTTTTTATTTTTATTTTTATTTTTAATGGCATATGAATTTATATACATTTTTTAATTTATTATATGAACTAATATTTTAAATAGTTTGTTATATTAACTTTCTGAAATTATTAATTTGTCATCTCACCTCAATTCCTTTCACTTTTCTATCCAAAATAAGTCATGAATTATGTTCGGGTTATTTTGGGCATTTCAACATCTCATTACTTTGTTAAGTTCATGGTTAATTTCATAAAACTTTGGATTGTAAATTCTCTATGTATTCCAATTTTTAACTAAATCATTTTACACCCTCAACAACCAAAAAAAAAAAAAAAAAGCTAAATCATTTTACAGATGTTCCAATTCGTAATTTAATTTTTTTTTAACATGGAATCAGAAATTACATTTCAACTTAAACCACTACGAGAAAGTTAATTGTTGTTGTCAAGCCAAAAACAGTTTAGAAAATTTTGGTGCTAACATGGGACCTTTTCCCACAATTAATGAGAATGCTCTCATTAAACTAGTGAGACTCACATTCCTTCCATTCACAATACAACCACCAGTAAGAACTGAGCCATTGTCTACGACTTCTCCAGAATCCTCTGCTCATGGTAAGAAGACAAATTAAAAGAATTAAAGATAACATTATTAATTAATCTCTATTTAAATTGTCAAAGATCCAAACAAAATGGGCTTGAGTCAATAAAAGGCCCAATCATTGAGCCACTGCAGTTCGACCATAAAAAAAAAAAAAAAATTGAACAATGGGGTTTTTATTATAGGAACCAACCACTTACGTAGTGTGCCCACATGCAAGCTTTCTTAGTAGTCACAAACATTTCATTACTACAGTTATACAACATATTGCATACACTATCAAGAATTTATATCCAACGTTTGACTTTCCTATTGAATATTCCTCTGCCATAAGTAGACACGAAAATCTCAACAAGAAGGGGAAATTGCATCCAAACAAATATGACGGGAATACTAGCAAGGAAAAATATTGGAGTAATAATCCATAATTTGTCACGAAGCATGAGGAATATGGCAGAAGAGTAGGCAACCATCATGGTCGCAACGGAGATGAAGAGTGTGGAAAGGCCTATTATCATCTTTGTGGGTAAGGATTTGAGAAAATCATCTTCAGCATAACGCGATGTAAGGATGCACAAAAGCATCAACGCTGAAGTTACAGAAGAAAATAGAGAAATTGCATCTGAAACTATAAAAACCATAAATAACTTTTCATTTAAGAATACGGGAAACCCTGTTTCTTGATTGTTTACACCCGGAACTGTGAACGCTGCAGCAAATATGATTGTAATAATGAGGGCACTGACAATTATATAAGAACTTGCTGTATCTTTCATCCACTTTTCTCCTTTCTCATGCAATTCCTTGTGGTTATGGGTAAATAATCTAGCAGCTTTCAAATAATCTTCTTTAAAAGGTGAGGCTCCCGTGGCTGTAACCACACTACTCTCTACCTCCTGCATTTCATTGAACAAAAACTAATGCATCGTAGTGACATGAGGTGATCGTAATCTTTCAGTAATTTTAAAGGGAAAAAAATGAAGGATAAATGTGCATCTTATTGAAATTTGGCCATTATAAGCATCTGTTTTGTAAACTATTCATTCCCTGTTTACCTTTTATTATTTTTTGAAATTTTTATTTGAATTCATATGTTCTCTCTTTACACTTAAACTTTAAATGTGATTTTTTTTATTTACGTTATTGCATAATTATTATCAAGTACGAGATGATATTAACAATAAGTAAACCCACACCTAATAATCAAACCCTACTATCATGCAATATTTATCTTATGTGCATTCTAACTAAAATCATAAGACGATCTCATAAATAATATATTTAAAAAACAAAAACTCTTCTTGACCCATGGATAATGATTTTGAAGTTTGAATCCTCCAACGAAGGTATGAATCGATTTACGATAACTTTTTTATTTGATTTTTTTAGTAACAAAATGAGCACATTTTCCAGCATAATTAGCACCAGAAACATGTATGGTATTGTAATTTTTTTTAATCATCTATATGGATTAAGCAAAATCAGTAGATGAGGATAAATTAAAACATATACGGGATTAAGCAAGAGACAAATATATGAGAGATATTGCTCTCTTTACACCTACAGAACACTTATTTGGGTTTTTATTTTCTAAATGAGTGTATAACTAAATTTATATATTGAATTGGGGTTGTGAGGCTAGTTTAGGTACTAAATTTGGGGCTAAAGAAATATTGATAATATAATTAAAAATAAAATGGATATAGAAAGTAAGTTAGGCGTCAAAAGAGGTTATACGATTTCAAATAAAATTTTCCTTGTTTTGCTTCCTTTTGAAATAGTGTTTCATACGTTAGTTCCTCATGTTGGAATAAATTCAACTTGATTCATACTGAGCTTAAACATATAATGAGGTAAAATTTATACTATTCATGGACAATATTGGCATGGGATAAAGTGAGAAGAAGTTAAATTTCAGGTATTAAGTGACACAATTTGAATTAGAGAAATTAGATTCACATTTCTCATTTTTCTATTTCATTGATTAAAAAAATTCTTTCTTCCATTTTTTTGGAGATCCTTTGGCTTTTATATCCACATCATTTTTTTTTAAAATTAAATATTCACATGTTAGCATATTTAAATTTTATAAATAAAAAGTATTTAATCATCTTCAAATACATTCATTTAGTGTTAGAAAGGTTTGGTTTGGTATATTTATATTTGTAGTTAAATTTTGCATACTTTTTTTTTTGCTTTTTAACTTGTACCTTTTTTTTATTTGCAACCTTTTTTTAGATACAAATCTTCTTTTTAGTTTAATTTGTACCCCATGCATTTAATTTCTTTTTATAACCCATATTTTTACTCTTATTTGTACTCAATTTTTTTTAATCTTTTATTTAAACCCATTTATATATTTATAATGCACCAATTTTTTCATAAAAAATGTACTACTGTATTACATGTAACATCTACCAATGCTTAAAACGTACCCATATTTAAATTTTTTTTTATTCCTTAGAATTCACACAATTCAAATTTGAGGAAAAAAAAAATTATAAATCCTTATTTGGTGTTAATCTTTTCGAGCGGTCCATCATTGTATTCTCGGTTCGAAACTTCCCTCTCCGGTTAATTATTGTAAAAGTTTTGAACCTCTCCCTCTCCCCTTAATAATAATAAGAAACTCAAAAAATAAAACTTCCATGATTTTAGAAGGAATTACTAATTTTCATTATTAAATTTTCTTTGTTAACACTAATATTCAGTATTTTGTCCTTCAATCAAATTATTTAAATTAATGAAGTTTCAGTCTAAAATTTTGGTCAATGAGGGGCATGAACCTGAGTTTCCATTTGAATTTTGTGAGGTCAAGTACTCGGATTGAATTTCAGGGACCATAGATGTAAGCAAGCCTACAAAAATATATAAATAATTCTAACCTTGTACCATTGCCTTTCTCTCTGCATTTGCAAGGCTGCACCTGCAATACCATCAAGCCTTTCTGAAGGAGATAACATCGCTGCATAATCTAGCATGATTTTCCCGGAACCATCTTTCAAAGTCACGAGGTAATTTCTTTTACCAGTCCCGTATACAAGGCTATAAACATTTTCTTGACGGCATTCAACAGCATGATGAAATAACGAGCTCAACAATAACCTTGGTTTGGCCTTACATAAAGTAATAACGAGCTCAACAATCCCATTTTGAGCAGCTAGTCTAACTGTATCAAATAGTCCATAAATTTCCGCCATTTCTTCTTTATTTAAATATTTTATCAAGTCCAAAATTTGTTGTGATCGAACATGGTGCAATTTCAGTTCACGAATGTGGTTTATTCCTGCATTGAGATTCAAAACAATGTTACAACTCACCACATTTTTAATGAGTCCATAGATAAACAAAATTGATAATTTAAACAAAAGAAAACTGAAATTCTTACAAATTCCTCTAAATTTGTGGCCATGAGATTCGATAAATCAAACAAAATCAACATACATAATTTCAATAGATGTGTGAGAGAAGAAGTTAATTGTGTGTTTATCATTTTCTATAAAACAAAATTAATTAATTAATGTCCACTTACCCAAAAACTCTGAAAGCCTCGATGGAAGTACTTGTAATAAACCCAAGTCTGCGAAACAAATTTAAAATTAAATTTGCTGCCAAAAATATCTTTATAAGCCTGATTAGATGATATATGGCATAAGCAAAGAAAAATAAAATGCAATTCTTATCTACTGTAGTGAAATTTTATATGAAACCCTAGAGCAGCTCAATAATTTAAAAAACAAAACAAAAAAAGAAAGAGCAGAACATATGAAAAGGATGCCAACATATCAAATCATAGTTTGACTTCTGAGATGTAACATACCTGTGCTATTCCCTTGATCACCTTGTTCATTTTCTTGATTTTGAACATTTATACGAGCATCACTGACGGAAGGAGCATCACATACGTGTATACCTATTAAGAAATACGAATTCCTCATTCAAAATACTTCTGGTAGATAATGTCTTTGACATAAGACCAATTATCTTTTACTACAAATTTTGTGGATGAAAACACACCATTATGGTAGTACCCATTTATAATATGATTTAAGAAAAATATTAGGGAGACCACTTTATTTGAACCAACTCATAAAACCCTTTATGCGGAAGGTGACATTTATACATGCCACATATAATGTTGACAAATTTGATCGTAATAAAAAAAATGGAAAATATTACTAACAGTTATAAATCCACCATTGCCAAAATTTGAGCGACGTCCCACTCGGGAATGCAAAGGGCAGAAGCGCAAATTCATATATAGGGCTTCTTGTTCGAAAAGGACAGAGCAAGTGTGGGCACCGTCGAAGTAAATCATATGCGATATCTGTACGTATGTATATTTAGACCAGTTATCATATATGTTCGAGGCTCTTCAAGGTGAGGAATCCCCATTTTAGCTAGAAAATAAGGATGATGTGACAGCCGTCCGATCTCTTTTAATGAGATCGTGGGGTTGCAACCAAACACAACTTATTACATTTCTTTTCTCCTTTTCTCCGTTACTCTGAATCTCTGCCTTGCGAACGACGCATAGCCAAGACAACCGAAGTCCAATCGAACCCAAATCTTTTCCCCCTGATCATTTTAGGCAACCTGGAGACTGGATTTAAGGATTTAGGAGTTTTTTTTCCTTTCAATTTCTAAATTCCAGAGATTGTTTTCAACGATTTGCTTTTTTTTTTCTTTCAAATATTAAAGATTAAAACTTATTGAGTTCGGATTCAAATGTGTTCAGTGGTTAGAAATTGAAGATAAAAAAGAAGAACAGATTCACAACCCAGAACGTTCAAAATGGTCAAGGGAGGAAACCGATTCAAGGAAAAGATGGAGAGATTAGGGATTCATTGCATTTGAAACTCTAGTTTCTGGTTCGGTCCTTCGCGAGGCAGAGAAAGAAAAGTACGAAAATAAAGAACAAGAAATGTAATAAATGCATCTTTAATGCCCAGCCGCACGATCTCGCTAAATGAAATCAGACGGCTCGGTGCATCATCTCCATTTTCCAATTAAAATGGGGATCTCGCTTGATAAAAGGCACGTATATATGTATATGTGTGTGTGTGTAGTGCAGAAAATTTGATTCGGTTAAGAGTAGTTTCGTTACCAAATTGTTTGGCCCGAAGACAACAGATAACAAGTTCAGAGCCGCAAGGGCCTTTATCTGGCTTTAGATCTTCGAGTGGAGTTACAGAGTAGAGGTACCGAACTATATCCCATTGGTCATTCTTAGCAGCAATGAGAATCGGAGTCATTTGGCTGGAATCTCGGGCAATACCGAGTAGTTTCTTGTTCTTCGCAACCAAGCATTCAACGATCTTGATGTTTTTTGCAGCAGCAATGGTAAGAGCCGTCTCACCAAAAGTATTTTTGGTCTCCAATTGCTCTTCCGTCATCAACTGCACCAGCTCTTCCACAATTTGCTCGCGCCCTTCGTATGTTGCATTGTGAAGAGCTGTATCTCCCCATGAATCCGTTGCTGTTATTGCACTGGGGTGTAGGGTGAGAAACTCCTTCGCTGCACACCAATCATTCCGCTTCACAGCATCGAACCAAGGTTTATAATCAACTGTCAAGGGTACGTATGAAATTAAATATGGCATTTTAAACAAGGGATATATTAACTACTTTCTTGTTGAGAGGTCCCTCCTTATTTGGTAGAGGAGAAATGTTGACAGAAAGAAAGAAAAAAAATAGTGAAGACTGAATAAAAGTAAGAGGAATGCTAGATAGCTTCCTCATTCGCCTTTACCTATTTACTTTTTTCACTCATCACTTGATATGTGTGTTCTACTACCAAATTAAACTCATAACTCGTGGTAAAAACTTAGTTTAATTTGTTGGTAGAATACACTTGTCAAGTGTTAAATTATGAGTGAAAAATATAAATAGGAAGGCATCTGAAGTAACGTTTGGTCACCTGATGGTCAATGGTTCATGGTCACCAATCCTTCAGTTTCTATCAAGGTTTGATATAAAACCTTGAAAGCACATCCATTTATTCTCCACGGTTTCACCCTTGATATTAAATTCAAGAGTGACTGACCATGTATTCCTTACACAAAAGGAAACCAAGAGAACCTTTCATATGTATTTACTACTTTGATTTTCATGATACATACCTGGGTTGATCTCTGCTGCCATGCTCAATCTGTCAATTTATCCAAAAGAGATTTTATAATTGGTAGATCATGATTGTGTGTTTATACATGGAAACAAAGAAAGAAATAGTGAACCAAAGTAATTAACAACTCACAACTTGAATTGAAACGGGGAAACCTTCTGATAAAACTTCAGCTTGAATTGGGGTTCTATAGCACTGGTGCTGCCAAGTTCCTATTGTTTTCTTGGTTTCTTCGTTCCTATAAAAGCCATACCTTCATAGGTTACTATCACCCGTACAGAAATCAAATACAGAGTTTGGATAGAAAGAAAGCCTCTTGAGTACCATTTGTTGTGAGGATATATTTTGTGAGTCTCAAATTTTTTGCACCCAAAATTTTCTCTGGTTAATCTAATTGAGTGACACGCGTTTTTTAACTTAACTTCAACTTACACAGTTAAAAAATAAAAACCAAATACTGAAGAAAAAGAAATAACCTAAGCATTCCCCTAATCCTCACGCACCCTAACACTACCTCGCCGGCGGACTCCCTCTCTTCCTCACCTATCACTGCCGGCTAACATATCCAAAATGCTTGAAGTGAATCTTGGTCACCTGATGATCAAGGGTTCATGGTCACCAATCCTTGAATTTGATGTCAAGGTTTGAAATTGAAACCTTGAAAGCACGTCTACTTGTTCTCCCCGATTCTACCCTTAATGTTAAATTCAAGAGTGAATGACCATGCATTCCTTACACAAAAGGAAATCAAGAGAACCTTTCATATAGATTTAATACTTTGATGATAGATACCTGGGTTTATTCGAACGGTCTTTGCTGCCATGCTCAATCTGAAAACTTATCCGAAGGAGATTTTAATATAGGTAGACCGTGATCATGTGTTTATATATGAAAACAAAGAGAAAAAAACAGTGAACCACGTAAACGTAATCAACACTCACACTTGGATAGAAATGGGGAAGCCTTCAGAGAAAGCTGACGATTCGGTTTTTTTCCAAAACCGAAAACCGATCCGTCGCAATTTCTCTGAAACTCAACGAAGTTCTGCAGTGGACTTCTCCGCCTTCGATCTGTGTCAAAAACTCGCCATTTTCAACAACCAAAACCAAAACCGATCCGTCGCAATTTCTCTGAAACTCAACGAAGTTCTGCAGTGGACTTCTCCGCCTTCGATCTGTGTCAAAAACTCGCCATTTTCAACAACCAAAACCACAAACTTGATCTACCCAAGAAAAAGAATAATCTACACGAGAAAAAGAATAATCTATGGTGGTTAAAGTCCTTACTTCGTTGGGGAAGCGACGTGGCTTGTCGGGAAAGTCGAACCCGACTGAGGTCGTGGTGGTCCGGCTTTGGGTCCAAGTATGGGACACGTACAAAAGACACGGCCGAGTTGAGTTTGAGGAGTAGACCACGATGGTGGTTTGGAAGTTGATCCACTAAAGGTAGTTTTGCTCTCTGCGCTGCAAAGAGAAGAGGAGTGAGGAAGAGGATCGAGAGGGAGAAGAGAGAGAAGCGGTACCGATGAAATGATTTCCTCAAAGGTGAAAGTTTCTGTATATAAAAGCCTCCTTCACTACCGACCCTCTTCCCACACTGATGGTGAAGTGCTCCCGCACCATCACCTCTTGGTCTTGGGTTCGAAGGTTGGTGTGCTTCTGCTGCTCTGCTGTTGCCTTTGAACGTGGTTAACAAAACCAAAAAAACAAAAAGCCTCCTTCACTAGAAGACAAAACATATATTTTCTGTGACAAAACATCACACGTGAAGGACGTGTAGAATATGAGTGTAAATTTACCACTTTGCCCTTAAACTTTTAATGAACGCCACTTTTTTGTTACTAGTTCGATTTGTGCTACACGTAAGTAGTGACGAGTACCACTCAAATACAACAAGAAAGGAAATAAAATATGAACTGAGCTTAAACATCCACGTAGGATTTCACTTAGCTAAACATGAGCATTTTGTCATTTTACAACTTCGGAGAAGTAAATTACAACAAAATTAGGGATTGTTGGAACCAAATTTGAGCACCGTCGTGAGTGATGGTTGAGCACAAATCTGAATAACCTGCAAAATAGTAAATAAACATGAGCAAGTCTAGAACCGGGGGTGTACCGGCCAAAGGATCTTCGACGGTCAAGTTAGTGAATGATTTTAGACTCAAGAAGTGGGTAAGAGAATTGAAGTGTTTAGATTGCATTATATTATAGATGAACGCAACTTACTTTTTATACCCACATTGTATTTGATTTATCTATCATTATCTTTTTACGCCCAACGTTCTTTCCGAAACCGCCCTTACTTATCAAAACTCAACTCAATCAAACTTCTTTTTATACCCAACTCAATCTACTTAAAAATAAAAAATAAAACTCTAACCAGTCCGTCATCTTCATTGAGCAAATCCCCTTCTCTCTCTTTAAAAAATTTCATCTCCCATGATTGTCATTCTGCACCCCCATCTACTCCTCTGTAGTCATCCAAACCTCTTCCTCTTCATTTTCTTTATCATTTGACATCTCTAAATTTCTAGAGCACTAATTAGCTTAATAATTGGTAAGTGTTCAATTGATTGGTTCAATTTTTATGCATTGATTCCTTTTTCTTTTCAATTAAATGAGCTTCTGGTTAGAGTGATTAATGAGTTTGGTATATTTCAATTAAATGAGAATCTTCTAGACTCTATATTCCTATATGTGGTAGAAAAATGGGTACGTCCATGATAACTTTTGGTAGATCAATGAATATTTTTAACCGTTTTTTTGAGTGCTAATAACAATTTTATATATTTATATACATTTTATTTTAGTTTGGAAGTCGACTTCCTTTTTTTTTTCTTTATCAAGTTGGGAGTATCACTGACTATGATCCTGTACAACTAGTTGTTGATTCGTTTGAATAATCAACATTATTTCTTACAATGTCTTGGGCGTATGAATTATAGAAAGAAAACGGTCATGATACAAGCTGAATAAGAGTAGTACTAATTAGTAAACAACTTGTGCATGATATTTTCTTATAACCAAGTGGCATGAAGAGACAAATGTGTATGTTTCATGCATGACTTGGAATAGTATTAGTAAAGTCACACATGCCAATCAACTTGTTGGCAAGTGACCATTTACCACAGTGGTGAAAAAGTGTTGTGCTCTTGCATGACGGTGTGGGTTCGAATTCAATTGGTGACTAATCTAACATCTAACTTACTAATGATATCGCTCGACTAAAAAAAAAATCGAAATGTATGTAGTGGGTAAACACAATCTCAAAATTTAACTAAACTCACATAACGATAAATAAAGGCATTATCACAACTTAGGGGTGATGAGCAATCCCATTAAAATAGAACTTAATATATACATATTAAAAACAAAAACAAATTGATGCAAAATCTCCTGACGACTTATACTATTCCAAGTCATGCATGAAACATACACATTTGTCCCTTCATGCCACTTGAAACTCACATAAGAACTATAAATAAAGGCATTATCACAACTTAGGGGTGGTGAGCAATCCCATTAAAATAGAACTTAATATATACATATTAAAAACAAAAACAAATTGATGCAAAATCTCCGGACGACTAATACTATTCCAAGTCATGCATGAAACATACACATTTGTCCCTTCATGCCACTTGAAACTCACATAACAACGATAAATAAAGGCATTATCACAATTTAGGGGTGGTGAGCAATCCCATTAAAATAGAACTTAATAAATACATATTAAAAACAAAAACAAATTGATGCAAAATCTCCCGACGACTAATACTATTCTAAGTCATGCATGAAACATACACATTTGTCCCTTCATGCCACTTGGTTATAAGCAAACATCATGCATTTACTAATACTATTCCAAGTTATGCATGAATCATACACATTTGTCCCTTCATGACACTTGGTTATAAGCTAACAACATGCTCATGTTGTTTACTAATTAGTATTACTACTATTAGCTTGTATCATGACCGTTTTCTTTCTGTTATTCATACGTCCAAAACATTGTAAGAAATAATGTTGATTATTCAAAACGAATCAACAATTAGTTGCACATTGTCACAATCAATGATACTCCCAATATTATAAAGAAAGAAAATAAAAAAGGAAGTCGACTTCCAAACTAAAATAAAATGTATATAAATATAGAAAATTATTATTAGCACTCCAAAAATCTCATTTGGCGCTCCAAACTTTCTATAATTCGAAAGAAAAATATACTTGTGGGGAGTGTAGAATGAGATTTTTGGAGTGCTAATAACAGTTCCCTAAATATATCTTAACAAATATTGTACGTGGCATTGACTTAGACTTTCGCGAATAGACTTATAATTTCTGGTATTAAAATACACGGCTATATTTCAAGTCCGAAAACACCAAAATCTATGTAATCAGAATACCAACCAAGCTGCTACATACGGCTCAAATCTTTGGCATTATTGCTACATTGCTCAAGAAATAATCAAATCAATAAAATAATACTTCATTAGAGCACAAATCAAGAAAATTACCTTAAACCACTGCTTTCGGAGCTCAGTATCAGCCAGCACGAATCTCATAATGGGACGAACCATTCTTCACCACAAACTTGTCAAACCAACCGGCATCGAAACTGAATGAAGAAACGTTTGGGCAATCAACCAAAACCCTCCGATTGTCAAACCCATCGATTTGTTTGATATATATAATTGACTACAACTGTTAATTCGATTTATGTTGAGATCGTATTGGTTATTCGACCTTGCATGATTCATTTTATTTAATTTAGGGAAAAATTGCACAAATACTACCTGAAATATTAACTGTGTTTGCAGATACTACAAAAACATAAAATCATGCTCATGTTTTAGTGTGAATGCATTATCTGATCCATTAATTTTTTGTTAAAATTTTAATTAAATATTTCATTTGCGATTTTGCAACACATGTGAGCCATTTTTCAAGGGATTGATCTTGTCACAAAAAAAGATATCTAAGGGTGAAAATTCAGTTTACAAAAAGTCATGAAACATGTCTTCTACTATTTTGAAGACAAGTTGTAGGGAACGAAATTCTTATAGTTTGGGCAGTGAAGGCTATTGCTCTAAGTATACAGCATCAATACATTTCTATATTGGACTGCAACGGCACAATCACTTTTTCCTGCACCTCAAGACTTGGACTTGAAGCATTGCATTGCGCTGGCAGTACGTACGTCCCTTCTTTGCCAATTAATTCGATGTAAATCTATTGGTTCATGCTATCAAGCGATCATCCATGTAAACTCTACTTACATGGCCATGGTGTTTCGATCCAAGACTTTCATTCCAGTTTCCACCTTCAGTCACATTCATAAATATATGATCCAAGACCATATCTTTCTCACTCTCTAAGTTCTGTTGAGAGTATAAATCTCATAAAAAATAGACTTTATATGTGCTTATTAGAGCTTCTCCAGTAGAGTCTCTAAATAGGGACAATCATCGTATAATCTCCAATGGATCGGAAAGTAAGTCCCTAAAGTATAGGATTCACCGGATACATAGTGTATATGTATTTACATATAGGGACAACCTTGAGTGAAAAACGGAGTCCACAATCTTGATTAATGCTTCAAATAATTTTAATTAATTTAAAAAAGGTTAACATAAACAAAAAAAAAAATTGCACCTTGAGTAGAAACGGAGCTCACAATCTTGATTGAAACTTTTAATGCATTTAATGCTTTCAATTAATTAAAAAATGTTAACATAAACAAAAAAAATACTGGGGTACTCACCGGAGAGTACACAAAATACTGACTCTTTGAAGTGGCCCAATGTAAATAAGACACCAGTTAAAGTTCAAGTTATATAAAACACGTAATCAAACAACGCTAATAATTCTGTTCAAAAAAGAAAAAAAAAAAAACCAAATGCTAGTAACTCATCCAAACATCCCCATCTTCATCTGCCTCCACCACTGCAGCTTTCTGACCATGGCTTGAAGATCGGGATTCTGACCACACAACAGAAGATTGAGTAAATCAAGGGCGTCCATGGGGGAGCAGCAGGTTAAGGCTAGCGGGGAACGACAACGTCCATCGAGGGAGGCTGTCTATTCGCAGTTGCCGGAAAAATTAGAATCGGAGGCGGTTGTCGGAGAAGCGAGGGATTAGAGGTGGTTGCTGTAAAATAAAAGTAATTAGGGTTGGGGTTGTCAGAGAGAAACGATCAGAGCAAACGGAGAAGAGATGGGTTGACCGTGAGGAGGAAGAGGGGTGTTTGTGTATGAGCATATCTATTGTTTGGACATTATAGGTGTAATATTCTAATTGGGCCATTTCAAAGAGTCAGTTTTTTGGGTATTTTCCAGTGAGTACCCAAGTATTATCCAACAAGAAATGTGCACCTAATCAAATTATCACATCAAATCATAAAAACTTCAAATTTAGGTATTCTATTATAAGGACTCTTCCATTGAAGGTAATGTTCCTTTAGGGACATAAATATTCCTTTAAGTCCTTAAATGACTACTCAAAGTGATGGTGGAAATCCCTAATAGGGATTTCCTTTAAAGATGCTTAGTAATTAGGCTACTCTTCATATTGTCATTTGATTTTACGGTTGAACTTCAACTTTTTTATGATATCAGAGCAAGTATGTGAAGCTCAACAGACACACAAGCTCCACATCACCTGATTTATGTTGTTCATGTACTAAACTTGAAAATTCGCTATACATGATCAACGTTTAAAATATCGATATTATCGGCGAAATATCGCCGATAATATCGTTTTTTTGCAACAGTGATATTTTCACAGTGTTCCACTTGATTATCGTGATAATATCGATAATATCGCGATTTTATCGTTATTATCGATAATATCGCTCTCTCTCTCTCTCCGTCGTCGCAACGGCAGCCGAGGCTCCGTCGTCGCAGCTGCCAAGATCTGCTCCTCTCTCTGCAATCCTCTCTCTGGATCCCAAAACCCGCTCGGGTTTGATGGATCCTCCGCCTCATACAGCCTAAAGTTTAGGCTAATGGTGCTCGCCGCCGCCGTAAGGTGAAAAAGGGAGGAGGAACGGTCCATAGGTGGTGATGGTGCTCGCCGGAGTGTGCGCCACTGTGGTGGAGGTCATGATGGGGGTGGGTGTGGTGTGTCTGTGCTCCGGGAATGAGAGTTGCAGAGATGGGGAGAGAAGAAACAAGGAGAGGAATGAGGGAGAAGGTTCGAGGGATTGGGGAAGGGGCAAACATGGGGAAGTGGGGTGTGTGTCTGTCTGTCTGCTCTGGGAAGGTGAGTTGCAGAGAATAGATGAGGGGGAGAATCGGAGAAGAAACAAGGAAAGGGAGGAAGAAGGATCGAGATGTCTGAGGGAAGAGGGAGTGCGAAGAGAGAGAGAGAGAAATAAATCTTTGAGATTCTGAAAGGGAAAAGAAGAAGAAAGAGGTAAGGTGGACAATGGCCTTGGGTGATGTGAATGATGTGAACAGGTAAGGTGGACAAGGGTCATCATATGGTTTTAATTGAAACCACCCACACCCACTTGCGTGGGTTTTTTATATATTTAAAAAGTTTGGGATATATATATAAATGTTACATAAATTATAAATTATTTAGATATTTTTTTTCTAGGTAAGCATATTATACATGTACATAAAACATTCATATATGTATGTTCTTCTATAAAAAATAACATATTATTCAATAATTGTTTATATCTGATATAATAAATTTAATTAATTCATATAATATATAAGAAATTTACCTAAATCCGCCCAGGCCACCTAGGCGTTTGCCTAGACTCCGTCTAGCCGCCTAGGTGCTAGGTGCTAGCCCACTGTCCGACTAGCGCCTAGCGTTTTTTAGAATCTTGGCGTGTGTGTGGGAGAAGGGAGAAGATAGAAGGATCGATATATCTGTGTGTGTGTGTGGGAGGTGGGAGAAGGGAGAAGGGAAAAGGGAGAAGAGAGAAGGATCGAGAGACTGAGGTCTATGTGTGCGTGTGTGGGCTCTCGATCTCTGTGTGCATGTGTGGTGGCGTGTGAGAGTCTCTGACTGTGTGTGTGGTGGCGTGTGAGAAAAAAAACAGCATTCAAATAATTCAAAACCATGTCTCTGACTCTTGACAACTTTTACAATTTTTACAACTTTTGACTAGATAAAAAGTAATGGTGGTTTCATCAATATTTTAAATCACTCATGTATCTTACCATGCAATGTATAAAGTGTAAAATATTGTAGTAAATCATTATATATAAATGATTATGATGTGTTTAATTTTTTTTTTCATTAATTATTACATATTTTCTACATTTACAGTGTTTGCTAGCTCGTTGTATAATCAACTTAAATCAGTTAAATCCATCATGTAATGCATTTCCTTCTAATTTTTTTTTGATAAACTAATAGATAATTGACTAAATAAACATTTTCCAAGTTTTTCTTACAATTTCCTTGGTTTTTATTCAATTTTTATTGATATCGATAATATCCCAATATTTCCGTATTTTTAAACTACCGATATTTCTGATATCATCGATATTTTATACCTTGCACCTACCAGATGGGTTCCTCCACTAACAGTATATAAAAAAAAATTACAATTAAACTTACTATTTTGTATCTTCCTCTCCCACTTCGTGTTCTCTCTTTCTCATACAAACCAAAAGCATAAACTTCCTAAAATTGGAGTCATTTCACTCCTTTCTTCTAAAAAATTACAAACACGTTTCAATCCAACAACTACAAATACTTACTCAAATTGGGGAAAAAATGGAAGGACATATGACATACCCAAAAAATAACAGTAGTGTTCCAATTGCTGCCAAATCTAAGATTTATGAACTGAGGTAGCAAAACGCAAAATGCCCTTTTAAGCACGAAAGCCTTGACAAAGAACTGCAGCTCACCACAAATCCAAAATAAAAACTTAAATACAGCTATTATAAAATGTACCTGAGTTCAATAAAATTTGTTTCACAATGATCTAAAGACAGCCCGCTCCCAAACTGCGCTACATATTCGCCAGAAATCCGGCGACAACTCTGGAATCCTAAACGGCAAAAGAAACAAATACTATGAAGTTTTGGCCCGCCAATGCAAGTTTAAGAACCCTAGAAACGAATTTCATGACTTTCCACAAAACTCCCAGAACCCTAGTTCTACAGCTAGCTTTACAGAGGAACACAACTTCCCTCAAAACGGAGAGCGCAAACAAAATCCCTTAAAAAACGAAAATCAGGATCTGTTTGGTGAATATTTTGTGAAATAAGGAACGAAGGAATTCGAGAGCAACGGAGGATTCAAGAAAAACAGAGGGCGAAAGGAAGACATGAAAAGCACGGATGAAGCAAAAGGTAAAGCGAACAAGAAGCCACATCGGGGAACCTTTAGTTCCCATTAGCATTTATATAGGTCTGGTCATTTGTTCCAGTGATTAGGACTTGGATAATTTAGAAATAGATCGAAGGTTTGGATCTTATGGTTGTGAGATTAGGTTTATATAATTTAACCTAATACAATTAATATTAATTAATCAAGACAAAAATCTTGGAATTTAAATTTAATCCAAGTTCATTAATTTTAATTTCAGATTAAGTTTTTTAATTAACATATTAATTAAGAAACGTTTGATTAAGAGACACAGCTCTTAGAAAGAGTTGTGTATTTTCAAATACGCTGAACATGTATTTGAAGGGGTGTGAAACAACCTATATATTTGCAATCATAGTTTCCAAGTGAGATTATTTTTTCTTCCTCTTTCTCTTCCGTACCAAATTTTCCAGAGGGTAAACACACAAAACAATTCGCTAGAATTTTATAATCTAGTGCGGGTTATAGAATTAGGTAGTTGTACCTTGGTTGAGCAGACATTGTAGAACCACAATCACAAGAGTGAGACGGAAATACTATTCGAATGACATAACTTTTGCGCTAGCCTCTACCTATGGTTAATCAAGTTAGTATCAATTCAATTTCTATATTTATTCCTATTATTTCATTCTGTGTAAGTAAGTATTTTTTATCAATAAAGTATTTCAAGTTATGCTATTTCTATTATTTTTTATTTATTTCTGAATTGTTCTCCAACAACAATATAGCAGAAATTAACAATGAAAAACTCGTGGCCAACATGGACAAAAAGGGCTTTCCACTGTAGAAAAACTGAAACAGTGCGGTCAACAAAAAAGAAGCCAATATAATGCAGCCTTGAAGAAAAGGAAATTATGGTCTCCGGAGAAAATATATGAAAGCCCCAGTGAATGAGGGAAGAAATCGAAGTTAGATCTCACCAAACATTGCCACCCACTCCCATTCATCCTGTCAAACTCCTGAAAAAAATCAAACGCAAGCGCCCATTATTTAAATAATGGTTTTTAATTATCCTTTATCCTTTCACATTTAAGTTTTTTCTTTTTATCACTCTTGTTTGTGACTAATATTAAAAAGGTTAAATTTGTAAATAAAAATTTGTAAACTAAATGATATAGAAGTTAATGATTAGATTATTATTTAATTATTAATTAGCGTACTTATTTTTTATTGGTGACACAGTATTTAATTTGCAAATTTAATTTACAAATTTAATCTACCTAACATCACTGCTTATCTATTATATGTGGTTGTTCTCAAATTCTCTTTTTGAGAATTTCAGGATTCTATGAATCGTGTCTATTTATCATAACATTGTGCGGTCACAAATCATTTTAAATATTTTATTTAAAATTAAACACAAACAGTATCTAATAAAAATTGACATCATGATGTACAATAAACAGATAAGATTCACGAATTTTCATGATTCTCATAAAAAAAATCCAGAAAGGATTCTGTTGGAGATTAAGCGTTAATTAATCGGCGCATTGTTTAATTAGCGGTACAACAAAACATAACATTTCTTTCAAGTCCTCACATGCACGTTATAATCTCCGCTATATTATTATATTTTTAAATAATTGAAAAAACAAGATTAACTATTTTCGTTCTTTAATAATCCTCACCCAATTAAAATAATAATTAAATTTAATTAAATAAAAACAAAATATTTGAAATGACAAAAATACAAAGGAATGGCGAGCAAAGACAGAGTACCGCGAGATTGTGAGCTTCTCATTCCGGTGGCCGACTCCGGCGGCGAAGATGCATCGTCCAAACCCTCCTCATCTTCCTCCTCCTCCCACCACACAGGCCACGAGGTGAGTTTCGATTTCTGTTTCAAATTTCATTGCTTTGTGTGTTAGTGTTGTGTTTGGTTGCTGAGAAAATGGAGGAAAATTCGATGGAAAAGCTGAAAGTTTTTGCATAGGTTGCGAATTAAAGTTGTTGGATTCCTGATTATTCTTAAGATTTAGAGCTGAGAGTAGTTGTTAAATTTATTAGGTTGAGCCATGAGGTATGCTGAAAGATGGAATGCTTTAGTAGCGATAGGAACTTAAACTTAGATCGTTGCCATGTATTTGTAATCTATTTTTCTCTCTTTCTGAAAGCAGAAGTATATCATTTGTTTGAACTCTAGGAGTCTTCTTACAGGCAAAGAAATACTTGGATAAGATAGAGAAATAGCCCTCGCTAGATGAATTCAACAAATGTACAACTTAGCCTCTTATAAGTTTTAGACTGAGCCCATTTCATGTAATTTTACGCTAATTTGTCAGGTGTGTGTGGATTTTTCTTGATGCATGTTTAATGCGGTAGCTAATGAGATCAAGGCTTCCTTCTCTTTCTTCGAGATTGCTTTTTGCTCATTTATATCATATTAGCTGCTCACTCTTTGTTCCATTGCAGTGTGTCCTATTTCCAATAGCGATCACTTTCTATATCGCGTGGTGGTTTATTTACTTTGTGGATAGCTTCTTCTCTCCAATCCATGCTCAACTTGGAATCAACATTTTTGGTATGAAGTATTCTGAAATGCATTCCTTAAACCCCATTATTTGATTGGTACATTATAACTTGCATTAGTTATTGGTCTTGGGGTATGATGTTGCTGAGCTAAGTATCTAGTCCGTTTTCTCTCTTCATCTAATCCTAGACACAAATTTTGGTGCGATAATCCGAATTCAGTAAAGACAGTTTCAATCCTTAGAGAAAAGAAATCCAGATGCTAGTGAAGCTAGGGGTTTGATTTTCTTTAACTTGGATGCTTAATTGTCTTATTCTTAGAAAAAGGTTTTTGATTGCACTATTGACCATATATCCTATCTAGAGTATGTATGTAACAATAAGAAGAGATGGGAACGAAAGAGAGATCCGGAATCACTCTAACCTTTGGCATCATGCCAAAGGTGCATTGGAATCACGCCACTAGAGCAACAACAACAACAACAACAACAAAGCCTTTTCCCAGTAAGTGGGGTCGGCTATATGAATCCTAGAACGCCATTGCGCTCGGTTGTGTCATGTTCTCCGTTAGATCCAAGTACTCAAGTCTTTTCTTAGGGTCTCTTCCAAAGTTTTCCTAGGTCTTCCTCTACCCCTTCGGCCCTGAACCTTTGTCCGTAGTCACAGTTTCGAACCGGAGCGTCAGTAGGCCTTCTTTGCACATGTCCAAACCACCGGAACCGATTTTCTCTCATATTTCCTTCAATTTCGGCTACTCCTACTTTACCTCGGATATCCTCATTCCAAATCTTATCCTTTCTCGTGTGCCCACACATCCCACGAAGCATCCTCATCTCCGCTACACCTATTTTGTGTACGTGTTGATGCTTCACCGCCCAACATTCTGTGCCATACAACATCACTGGCCTTATTGCCGTCCTATAAAATTTTCCCTTGAGCTTCAGTGGCCTACGACGGTCACACAACATGCCGGATGCACTCTTACACTTCATCCATCCAGCTTGTATTCTATGGTTGAGATCTCCATCTAATTCTCCGTTCTCTTGCAAGATAGATCCTAGGTAGCGAAAACGGTCGCTTTTTGTGATCTTCGCTAGATTGCTCCGGTCATTAGTGTGGATAAGTATATAAATGGATAGAGATAGAAAAGCAAACACAAAATGTACGTGGTTCACCCAGATTGGCTACGTCCACGGAATAGAGGAGTTCTCATTAATTGTGAAGGGTTTACACAAGTACATAGGTTCAAGCTCTCCTTTAGTGAGTACAGGTGAATGATTTAGTACAAATGACATTAGGAAATATTGTGGGAGAATGATCTCGTAATCACGAAACTTCTAAGTACCGGAGTGTGGTATCGTCTTGACTTGCCTTATCTGTCTCATAGGTAGATGTGGCATATTCTCTGGAAGTACTCTTCCTCCATCCAGGGGTGGTATCTTTAACTGGTGGAGATGCACAAGGTAATGTATCAATTTCACTTGAAGCTTACTTGTAGTTTCAAGCTTGGTCAAGCGTGATACAAACCATGTAGTAGGAGTCCCTCAAGTCGCCGAGCTAGGGGATCTGCTGAAAGAGGTGACAGACAAGGTAAGCAATCAGAGCTCCGGCTGATTGTTCACATTCTCCCTATCTTGCAGGCAGCATGAAGGATAAAGAGAAGAAAAATGAGAAGATGATATGGGATACTTTTGCTTTTGAAGAAGTAACTTTCCACATGCTTATTCTTGAACTGGGCTGGAGGGTTTTCTGGTTTCCTCCAGAGTATAAGGCCGACTGAAGAATTTGAGGGTCAAAACAAGTCCATCAAATCTAGAGTACGTTCGACCCTGCTGATATGGGATACTTTTGCTTTTAACAGAGTAGTGGATGTATCGGCACGTGTGCTGTTACACTTGTCTCCACATGCTTCCTTGTATCCTTCTCACTTGCCCTATCTGTTCCTTAGGCAGATGCGGTATCTTCCATGGAAGCATAAGATGTTGAAGATGAGTACTTGAGACCAATGCCAGGTAAGTAATCAGGTAAGGAGTTCCAGGCAGTCAGTTCCTGGCTGGAAGCTTGATTCCAAGTGCTGACTGATTGCTCTCTTTCTCCTTGTCTTGCAGGTAAGAACAAGGCCAAAGGAAAAGACAGGGAAAAAGCATGATATGGGATACTCTTGCTTTTAACCCTGATGATATGAGATATTCTTGCTCTAGTATAGCTTGTTTGCAGAGGTATAATCGGGGGGAAAGAAAGCTGAATATTTCGAAAGGCTTCGTTGGGAGTGCCCTCTCAGATAAGAGGAAGGGTTGAGCATTTTTGCAGGTCTGCCTGTCCGTTGGGGATGAATGTCGATATATATAGGAGTCTCCCTAACATCAAGTAATAATGCTATTCCTTTACCCTGCTTGGTCATAGCACGGTAGTGGGAGCTGCCAGCTTCACATGTTTTAACTCTGTCAGAGCACTTTGAAAAAGTGGTCTGTGGTATCTGGAAAGCTGATGTTGCGTGTGAAGATTACAGACAAGCTTTATCCAAGTCAATCTCTCTTGAAGTTGGGAAAGTGGTGCCTTTTCGGTTTTCGAACAAGCAATCCTGTCGGGGATCTGGCTCTCGAGATTCGGAGAACGATGCCTCTTCGATTTTTGAGAAAGCAATCCTGTTGGGGGTCTGGCTCTCGAAATTCGGAGAGCGGTGTCTCTTCGATTTTTGAAAAAGTAATCATGTTGGGAGTCTGGCTCTCGAGATTCGGAGGGCGGTGCCTCTTCGATTTTGGAGCAAGCAATCTTGTTGGGAGTGTTTTCTAGAATGTGAGTAAAGGTTGGACATGTTTGCTAGTCTACCTTGCCACAAAGCACAGAGGTTGACACACAAGGACTTTCCAATTATCCAGCAGTGGTACTGTTCCTTTACCATCTCTTCGATTTTTGAGAAAGTACTCATGTTGGGAGTCTGGCTCTCGGGATTCGGAGGGCGGTGCCTCTTCGATTTTGGAGCAAGCAATCTTGTTGGGAGTGTTTTCTCGAATGTGAGTAAAGGTATGTTTAGTTGCCATGAGCACAGAGTTGACACACAGGGACTTTCCAATTATCCAGCAGTGGTACCTTTACGATTTTTGAGAAAGTAATCATGTTGGGAGTCTGGCTCTCGAGATTCGGAGGGCGCCCTCTTCGATTTTGGAGCAAGCAATCTTGTTGGGAGTGTTTTCTCGAATGTGAGTAAAGGTTGGACATGTTTTGCTAGTCTACCTTGCCACGAAGCACAGAGGTTGACACACACTTGGACCAATTATCCAGCAGTGGTACTATTCCTTTACCCTTGTGGATAATAATGGTAGCTAGACCTTTCAAAAGTGTGTTTCTTTGTTTCTTTGCTATTCTTTTACCCTTCTTGGTCAGAGCGATGTAGGAGCTGCAAGCTTCACGTGTCTCAACTTTGTCAGAGAACTTTGGCAAAGTTATCTGTGGTACCCATGAGCTACTGTTGCGTGTGGGAAGTGGGTGATTAAACAGTACGATTCATGTGCTTTCTACTTCCAGAAATCTTCGACAGAATGCCCATAATTTCCGCAAAGCTGAGTGTGCGTGTGACAGGTGCTGACAAGGCTGGAAAAGTAGGTGCCTCTTTGATTTCTGAGATCGGCCCTCGTGGTCTCTGAGCAACCCAGCTTTTGAGAAAGCAAGCCTCTTCGATTTCTGAGATCGGCCTTCGTGGTCTTTGAGCAGCCCAACTTTTGAGAAAGTAAACGCCTTTCGATTTCTGAGATCGACCCTCGTGGTCTCTGAGCAGCCCAGCTTTTGAGAAAGCAAACGCCTCTTCGATTTCTGAAGCTTCGTCGAGTGCAGATTTTTATAGGGGCTGGCATTAAGTTCCAAAGCACACTTGAATCTCCACCAGTAGAAGCTCCATTCTTGCACTTCTAAGATCTTGATTTGTCCGACCTCTTCTCTCTTCAACACATTTGAAAATTTCTGGCCCCTCCGACCGTCGTTTTGACTTGAACCTTGTTGAAGAGGCAGCCCCGCCTTCTCCAGACAACATATGGCGCCCATCATTCGTCTTCCCTACTGGTCCTCTTACCGTTGGGGATTCCGTGATGAAGAATGATATGACCGCTGCGGTAGTGGCCAGGAACCTTCTCACTCCCAAAGATAACAGACTACTTTCCAAACGGTCTGATGAGTTGGTTGTTAAGGATTCTCTGGCTCTCAGTGTTCAGTGTGCAGGTTCTGTGTCTAATATGGCCCAACGCCTATTTGCTCGAACCCGCCAAGTTGAATCATTGGCGGCTGAAGTGATGAGTCTCAAACAGGAGATTAGAGGGCTCAAGCATGAGAATAAACAGTTGCACCGGCTCGCACATGACTATGCTACAAACATGAAGAGGAAGCTTGACCAGATGAAGGAATCTGATGGTCAGGTTTTACTTGATCATCAGAGATTTGTGGGTTTGTTCCAAAGGCATTTATTGCCTTCGTTTTCTGGGGCTGTACCGCGTAATGAAGCTCCAAATGATCAACCTCTGATACCTCCTCCTTCTAGGGTTCTGTCCAGTACTGAGGCTCCGAATGATCCCCCTCCGGTGCCTTCTCTTTCTGGGGCTCTACTGACTGCTGAGACTTCTCCTAAGCAACCTTTGTGAAGGCTCCCTCTTGTTTGTTTATTTTGACTCATGTATATGTACATATTTGTAACTTATCGGGGATATCAATAAATAAGCTTTCCTTCATTTCAACGTATTGTGTTAAATACACCAAAACCTTCTTCGCTAAGTTCTTTGAATTTTCTTTTGTTGAAGCTTTGTGAGTGGAGCATGTAGGTTGAGGTAGTGTTCCCTTAATTTCCCGAGTGAGGAAAACTTCTCGGTTGGAGACTTGGAAAATCCAAGTCACTGAGTGGGATCGGCTATATGAATCTTTAGAACGCCATTGTGTTCTGTCCTGTGTCATGTCCTCCGTTAGATCCAAGTACTCTAAGTCTTTTCTGAAGGTCTCTTCCAAAGTTTTCCTAGGTCTTCCTTTACCCCTTCGGCCCTGAATCTCTGTCCCATAGTCGCATCTTCTAAT